GGCAGATCATAGGAGGCAAGCTCATCCTTGATGTAATCCGCCAGGCTATGTGGAAGGCTTCCACCGTGGCCTCCATGTTCAAGGAACTGCGGCTTGCCCAGCTTTGAAAGTCAATCGAGTAATCTGCACCTGTCCGATTGCCTTGACGGAGGGTCAAGAGGGCAAGGGGTGCCTCAGAAGTGGATGAGCCCACGTCGAACACCTTGACCATCTCCTTTGCAACCGCATTGAAGGTGGCACAGGCTGGAGTTTGCCTCTCAAATTCAGCTGTTCCCCACAGCCGAGCTCGACCTGTCAGGTGGGTGATAACATATCCGACTCTGGCCCCCTCTGTAGCGAAGGTCCGGGGTTGCAGTGAGAATTGAACTCTGCAGCTTGTCAGGAATGCTCGCACCCGTTTTGGGTAACCATCAAATCGCTCGGGGTTTCTGATCTTGGGTTCCGGGGCGTTCAGGTGCTGAGGACGTTTTCTGTTGGAGCGTCGGGGGCTGGAGCGTTGGGTTTTGGTAGGAGTGGTGCGGAGGGGGTGGGAGCAGACGGAGTTAGCGGGTTGGTGAGTGTCTGGATCACCTGGGTCGGCTGCTGTTGTTGTTGCTGGAGCCGATTGCCGATCCAGATCAAAGATACAATATCACCAGACAACCGGGTGACTTTCCCTCCAGGATGTCAGGATCTTCAGGATAGGCTTAGATTGAATGTATGCGACATGCAAGTTTATAGCATCAATATCTTTATGCTTGATCAAAACTCTTTGCATCAGTTACCCATCTTATTTTAGTTACTAGATCATCAATAATGTGTTAGGTAGCAATCTAATCTGGATTTTCCAAGGGTATAAATATATATCACAAACATCACAAACAATCATAAAAAAGGTAAATTAGGACTATAAATGACTGCCTGTCTTCCAAGCAGTGAATTTTTCAGAATCATTGTCTTTTATTTGCCATATTACAATCTATTTGAAGTTATTTTTGTACAACAGTAGTTGTTTGTATTATTCTCAGGTAATAATCATGCCAAAAAGAAAATTATGAAGTGGGTAAATTAAGTGCAGTTCCCTGTAGCAAGGACACTATTTTTGTCTTTCAGTTTGTGTAGTCTAGTGCAGGGGTGAGCAACTCCAGGCCTTGAAGGCCGGTGTCCTGCAGGTTTTGGAAGTTACCCTGCTTTTACACACCTGATTCCCATCAACACAACATCAGCAGTCCTGTGCAGAGCTGAACCATCTTTAAAAGTGATCAGTGTTATCTGAATCAGGTGTGTAGAAGCAACGGAATCTCTAAAACCTTACTAATGGGACCTCAAGGTTGAAATGTTAACTTTAGCTTTTACTGAAGTTAAAAGGAGATAGGAGAGGACGTCTTCACCTTGAACATTTAACAGTTATATTAGTATATATCACAAGGTCAGGGAAACAGCAGCTGAGATGTTGATGTGTAGTTATTTTTTTTGGTTAAAACCTATTAGTGTATTAATTATTAAAATTGTCTCAAAACTTTCTGAAGGTCAAAGGCACATTTTCTATATGTTCATAAAACCCTGATCATCCAGTAATTTGATATTGATACACATGGACAGATTTATTTATATATATATAATATAAGTCTAATTATATCATTCTTGAACTGTAAGTAACTGATATCCTATTCAATTTATTTGGTGTATAGGGTGGACATACGCACAAAGAATGAAAAATATATTTCGAAAAGGTGCTCACAATTTAAATGAGCTCGATATTGGTGTTGTAACATATGGTATCCACAAGAGGGAAGCAAATGATTGCATTTTAGATGGGTGCATGTTGGAATGCTCCCTTAAGTACCAGTTTACATCAGTTTGATGATAAAAGCTCATTAAAAAAATACCCCATTGTAAAATTAGTATGATGCTGATAATTTCCCAGAAATGGGTAAATATTTTAAACAAAAAGGGAGTGACATCAGGTTTTGGGAGAAAGATAGCAAAAGCTGATGTCACTTGTATTGATACTTTTTTACTTTGTAAGATATTTTAAAATGACATCGCTGAGTTCTCATTCCAAAGAACAACAAGTTCCAATATTATGGTGGAAGTACTTTCTAAATTAATCCTGACCTCTTCTGCTGAAAAACAACTGATGTCCTCGCCCTAAATTTAGACATATGACAACACTTTTTCAATTACTTTAATTTACCCATCTCTTTCAAACCCATTTCTGTCATATGAACAAAACATTCAAATTCTGCCAATTAAAATGATCGACGAGACACAGTTATAACCTCAAATTGTTCGCTAATCTCGGGAGATACTCATCCTTGCCTTGGATCTTTTAATGCTACATCTTCTTTCATGGCAGGAACATTGCCTGTCTCCCATCCCATCACTCTGTTTCTCTGCTGCTGAAACCCTCATCCACTCCTTCATCACCTCAAGAACGGAGTGCTATTCTATGGAACACCATAAAAACTTTTGAATAAACTAGAGTCCATCCAAAAGCTTCATGTTTTTGGGTGAGCACAGTGTATTCAGTTCAAAATCCTCCACCTCCTCACACACAAAGCCCTCCACAAACAGGCCCCTCACTGACCTGCTCCATCGCCACAATTCATCCTGCAGCCTTCGTTTATCTGATGCTAACCTCCTTACTCCAACAGGCAGGACCATGTACCAAAACTTGAGCAACAGAGCCTTCTCTGCAGTTGCCCCCTCCCTATGGAACTCTCTCCCCAAACACATCCAATACTGTACTGACTTGCCCACCTTAAAATAACTGACAGAAAAACGCCTTTTTAAAAACGGATTGGTGTAGTTTTTAAGTAGTGTCTTGAATATTTAGAAAAGTGCTTTTAAATCAAATGTATTATTATTACTAAGATTATGTTTGAGATGATTTGAGTTTTGTGACGTGGTGGATTATCCTGCTGGAAGTAACTCAGAAACTGTGTTCACTGTGGTCATAAAGGGACATGTTCAGCTTCTCAGGTAGGCCACAGCATTTAAACCATGCTCAATTATTACCAAGGAGCCCAAAGTGTGCCGAGAAAATACCCTTCACCATTACACCAGCAAACATGAATCATCGATACAAGGCAGGATGGATCCATGCTTTCATGTTATTTAGGCCAATTTCTAACCATACCATCTGAATGTGTGTAATAGAAAAAAAAGTTTACTGGTGATTTCTGAGTGAACTTCTGAGTAATAACATTTTGTCTTAGAGACTGCCAGGTAAATCAGGTTAGTCAGTGGGGAAAAAGGCTCAGCTGATGGCTTTCATGAACGTGTTGGTTAATACATTTGTGCAGACAAATTTCCTTGGCAGGTGTGTAGGTAAGTCCCTGCGCTCCATTGAGGGAGGTTTATAGAAAGTAACTACCTTTTCCTTCAGATCAGCTCGGTATGTCGTATTAACTAATTGTATGATCATGCTTGGTAGCTCTTCATGAAGGTCACTTTTACTAAATTCATTATTTATTACTTTTATCAAAAAGACTAAGACTGACGGCGCCCTGCTCGGCTGCGGCTACTTCGGCTCCGGTTAGCATTGCAAACCTTATGCTACATTCGGCAGTTAAAACAGCGATTCCCATACGTACAACGCAGCGACATAGTGTAGGAACAGTGTACACCCATCCATCCATCCATCCATCCATCCATTGTCCACCGCTTATCCGGGGTCGGGTCGCGGGGGCAGCAGCCGGAGCAGGGAAACCCAGACTTCCCTCTCCCCGGCCACTTCAGCCAGCTCCTCCAGGGGGAACCGAGGCGTTCCCAGGCCAGCCGGGACACATAGTCCCTCCAGCGGGTCCTGGGTCTTCCTCTGGGCCTTCTCCCGGTGGGACGAGCCCGGAACACCTCCCAAGGGAGGCGACCAGGAGGCATCCTGATCAGATGCCCGAGCCACCTCAACTGGCTCCTCTCCACGTGGAGGAGCAGCGGCTCTACTCCGAGCCCCTCCCGGATGGCCGAGCTTCTCACCCTATCTCTAAAGGAGAGCCCAGCCACCCTGCGGAGGAAACTCATTTCGGCCGCTTGTATCCGCGATCTCGTTCTTTCAGTCACTACCCAAAGTTCGTGACCATAGACGAGGGTGAGAACGTAGATCGACCGATAAATTGAGAGCTTCGCTTTTAGGCTCAGCTCTCTCTTCATCACGACAGACCGGTACAGCGCCCGCATTACTGCAGACGCCGCACCGATCCGCCTATCGATCTCACGCTCCCTACCCCCGTTCGCGAACAAGACCCCGAGATACTTGAACTCCTCCACTTGGGGAAGGACGTCCGCTCCGACCCGGAGAAGGCACTCTACCTTTTTCCGGTGAGAGACCATGGTCTCGGACTTGGAGGCACTGATCCTCATCCCAGCCGCTTTGCACTCGGCTGCGAACCGCTCCAGTGAGAGCTGTAGGTCCCGACTTGATGAAGCCAACAGGACCACATCATCTGCAAAAAGCAGAGATGCGATCCTAAGGCCACCAAGACTGACACCCTCAACACCTCGGCTGCGCCTAGAAATCCTGTCCATAAAAGTTATGAACAGGACCGGAGACATAGGGCAACCTTGGCGGAGTCCGACTCCCACCGGAAACGGATCCGACTTACTACCGGCAATGCAAACCAGACTCTGACTCCGGTCGTACAGGGACCGAACAGCCCGTAACAAAGGGCCAGGTACCCCATACTCCCGGAGCACCCCCCACAGGATACCCCGAGGGACACGGTCGAACGCCTTCTCCAAGTCCACAAAACACATGTGGACTGGTTGGGCGAACTCCCATGCACCCTCCAGGACCCCGCTGAGGGTATAGAGCTGGTCCAGCGTTCCACGGCCAGGACGAAAACCACACTGTTCCTCCTCGATCCGAGACTCGACTATCCGACGGACCCTCCTCTCCAGAACCGCTGAATAGACCTTCCCAGGGAGTGTACACCCGTAAGACTATAATTAGTCTCAGGAATTTAGGGCTTCAAGACTTCCTCTGCACGGAGACGCGGACTGCACTCGCTACCCTCGGACTGCTACGCCAAGCGGACCGAGCGGCCAGCGGAACAGCGGTCCCTCCCACAACCAGAGACCACCCATGGAGACGTCGGAGACGATGCGACAGGAAGCAGAAGCGCGGCTGCCGCGGAGGACTAACAGCTAAGCTAAAAGCTAACCCGTACAGATCGCCGCTTCCCTCCCGGCTGCTCGCCAACGTACGCTCCCTGGCAAATAAAATGGACTACCTCAAGCTGGAACTACACTCAAAGCTTGAAGTAAGAAACTGCTATGCCATTGTCCTCACTGAAACATGGCTCAGTGCATCGGTCCCAGATAGCGCAGTTAGCCTGGACGAGCTAACAACATTCAGACCCAACAAAAGCAGCGCTCTCACAAGTAAAAGCAGAGGGGGGGGGCGTTTGCATCGACACGAAGAACAGCTGGTGTACCAACGCTTCCTGGGTCTCCAGTCACTGCTCTGCAGACATTGAACTCCTGACTGTGAGATGCCGACCCTTTTACCTGCCACGTGAATTCACCAGCGTCACCATTGTTGCCGTTTACATCCTACCCAGCGCCAACACGAAGCAAGCCCACAGTGTTCTCTACCATAACATCACGGACATGCAAGCCACACAGCCAGAAGGTGTTTTTAATTTTACTGGCGACTTCAACCGGGCCAACATGAAGACCGTGCTTCCAAACTTTACCAACACGTGGACTTTGCTACAAGAGGGGAGAACACGCTGGACCTTGTTTACACCAACATAAAGAAGGCATACAGAGCAGCCCCCCGCCCACACCTGGGCTCTTCAGACCATTTCTCTGTCATGCTAATTCCTGCATACCAGCCCCGGCTCATTAGAGAAAAACCTGCAGTGAAGATGGTGCGGGTATGGCCTGAGGGAGCGATGTCTGCACTGCAGGACTGTTTTGAGTGCACTGAATGGAGCATCTTTAAGGAGGCTGCAACAGACAACCAGTGCACCAACGTGGAGGAGTAGGCGGCATCGGTGTCCGACTACATCAGTTGGTGCATGGAAAACGAGACAGCAGCCAAAACGATAGTCACCCGGGCAAACCAGAAACCTCGGATGACCAAGGAGGTGCGAGCGAAGCTGAGAGAACGAAATGCTGAGTTTAAATCTGGTGATGCTGTGGCTCTCAGGTCTACAAGGGCTAACCTGAACCGGGTCATCGCCAAGCGAGCCCATAGCCGGAAAATCCAAGGTCTCTTCCAAGACTCCAACGACACGAGGAAACTGTGGCAGGGCATCCAGTCTGTCACAGACTACAAACCCCCCCCCTCATCCTGACAAAACGACATCGGCTTCCTCAAGGAGCTCAACAACTTTTTTGGAAGATTTGAGGAGCTGAACTCCAACCCTGCGAGGAAAGCGACACCACACCGCGACGAACAGGCACTCAGACTAGAAACATCAGCAGTGCGGAAAGTTCTGAGGAAGGTCAACGTGCGGAAAGCTGCAGGTCCCGACAACATTCCAGGTCGGCTGATTAAAGAATGCTCGGACCAGCTGACCCACGTGCTCACGGACATCTTCAACACATCCCTGAACCAGGCCGTTGTCCCACGGTGCTTCAAGTCTGCCACTGTCGTTCCGGTCCCAAAGACAACCACCAACACGTGCCTTAACGACTTCCGCCCCGTCGCACTCACATCCTCCATCATGAAGTGCTTCGAAAGACTTGTTAAGGACCACATTATCTCAACGCTCCCCCCATCACACGACCCGTTCCACTTTGCATACCAGCCCAAGCGCAGTGCGGAGGATGCAGTCTCCACTGCTCTCCACCTGAGCCTGGAGCACCTGGAGGAGAAGAACACCCACGTGCGGATTCTGTTCCTGGACTTCAGCTCAGCATTCAACACCATCATCCCCCAGGACCTGGTAGGCAAACTGGGACCCTTAGGAATAAACACTCCCCTCCGCAACTGGCTGCTGGAATTCCTCACTGACAGAACCCAGGCTGTTAGAGTGGGGAACAACACCTCCAACCCTGAACACCGGCACCCCCCAGGGCTGTGTCCTGAGCCCCCTGCTGTTCACCCTGATGACCCACGACTGCTGTCCACGCCTCAGCTCCAACCACATCCTGAAGTACGCGGACAACACCACAGTAGTGGGCCTCATCCGGGACAACAATGAGGCGGCCTACAGGGAGGAGGTGCGGCATCTGGTGGACTGGTGCAGAGGGAACAACCTGATCCTGAACGTCAACAAGACCAAGGAGATTATCGTTGACTTCAGGAAATCCAGACCCACCCACACACCCCTCCTCATCAACGACTCAGCTGTGGAGGTCGTAAGCAGCACCAAGTTTCTGGGGTTGCACATCACTGACAACCTCAGCTGGTCAGTCCACATCTCCTCACTGGTGAAGAAGGGCCAGCAGCACATGCACTTCCTGCGTCGGATGAAGACAGCATCCCTCCCGCCCCGCATCCTTCAGACATTCTACAGAGGGACCATTGAGAGCCTGCTGACCAGCTACATCTCCATCTGGTCTGGGAGCTGCATGGCCTCTGACTGGACGTCTCCTCAGAGGGTGGTGAGGATAGGGGAGAAGATCATGGGGCGCCGCTCCCCTGCATCAAGAACATGGCGGACAGGCGCTGCCTATCCCGGGCTCACGAGATCCTCTCCGACCCCCCCCCCACCCCAACCATGGACTGTGTTACCCCCCGGCGTCCGGGAGAAGGTTCCGCAGCATCTTCTGCAGAACGACCAGACTACTGAACAGTTTTTTCCCCCTGGCCATCAGACTGCTCAAGGCCACATAACACTCCTCCTCCCCCCCCCCCCCCCCCCCCACTAAAACCCCCCCCCATGGCCAGGACCAAAACCACCCCCTCTTTTACCTTTTTCTTCAACTCAAGTTTTAATCAACTCAGTGCAATATTCATCGATGTTTATTTTGTAATAACTCTCTATGGTAAACATATTTATTGTGTAGGAATAAGGTCTTAGCTGTTACACTGGTAGTCATTGTTTTTTGTACAATGACAATAAAGGAAGTCTAAGTCTAAGTCTAAGTTGTTTGAAATACAAATTCCACAACTTTTTTGTTATGTCTTGGTCATGTATTGGTCTCATGTGTATTGTGTCAGTAGTCTTGGTTTGCTCTTGGTCTTGTCTTTAAAAAAAAAAGTAATTCTCATATTGTTTCAGGTGACTTGCTCTTCCTCCTGTACCACCAGTCTGTCTTCCTTGATTCCTTATTGAGTCTACCTGTCACTAGTTTCCGCTCATGTGTACTTATAGTCCACATTGTCCTTGTGTTGTCAAGTTTGTTTATTCTCCATGTGAAGTCTTAGTGGAGTGATTCTCTGTTTTTATAGCTTCATGCAATGTCCTCCTTTTTTGGGAGCAATTATTTTTGCCATATCTTGGTGGTTCTAGATACTTTATAGTAAAGCCCAGATGCCTTTTTATTCTTCCATTTTGTATATATTGTAGGGACTAAGTTCATAAATGTAGTTAATAAATGTTTGAAAACAAAGAGACAGATAAATGTTCTAGAGATTCTTATTTATAGTTAGCTAATGTATTGATAAATAGCTATGTGTAGGGATAATGTTTGTTTTTATATTACCAGGTAAACACCCAGAAATGTAAAGAATCACTATTTCATGAAAGTACATTAGCCAATCCAGGTGCTGGTTATAGCAGATACAGTATAAGCCAAAATCTATACAAAACACTTAAAAAAACATTTACCTTAGTTTGGCTGTTTTAATTTGAGTAGTACATACAAACGTAATCACTGAAAACAGCATCCATCTGCTGTGACAATCATTTAGGGGACATCATTTTATAGCTTCAATTTTCACTTACCCACAGTGCTTCATATTCTGTGGTTTGTCCATGCGAATGGCTAGTTTTATTTTGAGGTCACTATCTGGGCAGCCTTTAGAAAGGGTCATCTTATGGAGCTCACACTGCTTGGGGCAGTTCGGCGTTGGGTGAAGCACAACCTGGCAATCATATAAAAAACTGCATGTTACCACATTATAGGAAGTAATACAGATGTAACATTATGCTAATTAATTGATCGCTTACCCTTCCTAGCTCTTTATCCTCCAGGGCCAACACACCGGTGCTCTCCGTGAACAGCTTCACCTTGACAGCAGGTAATGGCTGGGTGGTGGTGAAGTCACCCTGGGTACCCCAACTATAGAAAAGAATATACAATAAAGGTAGATAGTGCCATCATCCCCAGCTGAACTATTTGTTGTAAAGCCTTCAGGAAGAAAATAAAAAACCTCCCTCACTTGTCAGTATCACTATCACTATCAATGTGTGCAGGCAGATTTATGCCACAAGCTCAAGCAAGGATCCCTGTCCAAACAATCTTTGGTAGGTCCATTAATATTCCAACTTTTTAATGTTGACACACAATCCCCAATTTAAAACAGATGTCATAATAACCATCTTGGAAATAGATAAATATTGGTTCACTTCAAACTTCAAACTGATCCCTGTAAAAAAATCTAAAGGCACTTCCCCTACTAGAAACTCCTTCTATTTGCTTTGACTTGTAAGGGAGGAAATTAACAAGCTGGTAAAATCAAGTTATGCTGTCGGTGGAAGAGACTTAAAAACCCTCTCATCTTAGGGACCAAATGCAGTTTTCCATTTCCAGATATCTATCTTCCCATTTAAAATTATAGTTTAAACTATATTTGGAACACTGGCTCTGTTAGCTTCCCTAACTGCGGATGCGTGTGCTCTTTTGCACCAAGAGCAAAACAAAAATGCTTTCATTTATTTTCTCTTAATAATTGGTCAAACCAGCCAAGGAGGATCAGGGTTGCTTATTTTGTGCAAGTCTTGTTGAAAGCCTCCTATCAGACACATCTACAGGTAGACGATTATTTTATTCCAAAAGTTTAAAAGAATCTGACTTTAACAGTCTTTTGGAAACTTCGGACCCATAACTAACAGCAGTATTTGCTGCCCACTCCTGGGACTATCTCAAGCATACTAACCTGTTTGAGAAATGTCCAATTATTTTCACACTACCTGCTTCTCTTTAGTCAAGTCATCAATCATTTCAAGATTTCATTTTTGCTGCTTTGTTGATGATATATACCTGTCAGGAAGAAAAATATTGTCTCCACAAGATGTCTCTCCTCACTTTCTGGTGAATGGCTTTCTGCTCAGCTGCTCTACATCATAACAACAAACTCACTGACATGCTGGCAAGAAGAAAGTTTTTTTTTAAAATGCAAATCCTTCCTCTTCACGCAGAAGTTTAATCTATAGATAGTATTTTATTGGTTTTCATAACAAACATACTTAGTGATACATCACCTGCTTTGAGCACTAAGGCATACAAAAATGTAAAATGGTTTACTATCATTATCATAATCATTGTTATGAGTTTATGGCATTTTTCATGGTTTATTTATTTTCCAAGTTCCATATTTTACTTTTTATTCTCCTTACTCTGGGTATTACTCTTGGTCCCTTAGTTTTGCTTAACATTATTTTTACTAATTTATTGTAGCCATTTACCTTTTTATTTGAACAGATTATACTAATTGAAAATTTTGTGTACATTTTTTTTTACTTCATTTACTTACAGCCATTTTGCTGTCTGTACATTCATACTGATGATCCCTCCCTAAGAATCCTTTCTGTGCCCATCCAGTATTGTGCTGGCAGTTGGGATAACAATCACTGATACTCTGTGCATTACTTGTAATTGGCTGCATGCCAGTTTGTTTGTTATATCAACGGTTTGAATTTTGTTTTTTTTACTGTTTTGATAGTGTCTGCTTGCCGCCTATGTGTGTGAAGCAAATTCAATTAATCAAATTATCAAACAACTTAGAATTTTACATTTCTGATGACCCACTGGGTGGAGTAATAAAATTACCCCAATGTTATGTTATCAGTGTTTAAGTTTGTGTCTCTGCAGAAGCAAGCGTAGACCATATTCAAAGACCCACTTTTCAGATACTTCCTTCTGAATTTACACCACCAGTGCATCTTTGGCGTTCAGATCAAAGAACCGCTATTTAACAGATGTGAGTCTGATTTTTCTGGATCACTCTATTTCCCAAATACAGGGATTTTTCCTCCTACAGTCTAAAGATGTGAAACGTTTTATCTCCTCCTCATGGCCTTGGAAACAGAGGCAGGATTTCAATCTCCACAGACACACAGAGGAAGCCTGTAGTGTACCCTCCAGCAGCCACTACAGCCATTATGGGAAATCCAGGAAGGCAACCATCAGGAGCATGACAAAAAGACAAAAAGAAAACAAAAAACAAACAACACAACAAGCA